ACTGCGACATTGAGACTCTGTTAATAATGTTTCCTCGTTGATGGAGTCTGCCCATCTGTTAGAATAATCTTTCCCCATCTTGGACTGTCTTTCCCCAACTATGTCTTTGACCGCTCTACAAAGCGTATCTTCACACTGCCTTCAGTGTTCATCCATACCTTCGTGCGTTTTTAAAACTCCCCAAACTTTAACGATATCAAGATATCAAGAAGCCGAGGTCGCTTGCGGCTGAGGCGCTATGTTGATAACATATGGCATGAAAAAACGAACCTGGTTTTAATGACATCAAGAATAATTAAGCCGAAGTCGCTTGCAGCCAAGGCATAGTATCGATACTACAACGAAAAAAAACTAACCCGTTCACAACGATATCAAGATTAATTAAACCGAGGTATAGTATCAATACTATATGAAAAAAAAAAAACTAACCCATTCGCAACGATATCAAGTACACTTACATATCCAGAAGGTGGCGCTGATTACCATGTTGCGACTACGGGAAGTAAGACTTTTCAAGAGAGAGTATATCGCATTCACACCGATATCAACAGGAATTAAGCCGAGGATACTCGTGGCCGAGGCGCTACATTGATACCATATTGCATAAAAAAACTGACCAGATTTTAACGATATCAAGAATAATTAAGCCGAGGTCGCTTGCGGCCGAGGCATAGTATCAATACTATATCAAAAAAAAAAACTATCCCATTCACAACGATATCAAGAGTAATTAAGTCGAGGTCGCTAGTGGCCGAGGCGCTACATTGATACCATATTGCATAAAAAACTGACCAGATTTTAACGATATCAAGAATAATTAAGCCGAGGTCGCTTGCGGCCGAGGCATAGTATCAATACTATATCGAAAAAAAAACTAACCCATTCACAACGATATCAAGAGTAATTAAGCCGAGGTCGCTCATGGCTGAGGCGCTACATTGATACTATATTGCATAAAGAAAACTGACCAGATTTTAACGATATCAAGAGTAATTAAACCGAGGTTGCTCTTAACCGGGGCGCTACATTGATACCATATCGCATAAAAAACTGACCAGATTTTAACGATATCAAGAATAATTAAGCCGAGGTCGGTTGCGGCTGAGGCATAGTTTCAATACTATATCGAAAAAAAAACTAACCCATTCACAACGATATCAAGAGTAATTAAGCCGAGGTTGCTCGTGGCCGAAGCGCTACATTGATACCTTATTGCATAAAATATAATATCCATACTATGCCCCGGCCGCAAGCGATCTCGGCTTAATTATTCTTGATATCGTTAAAATCTGGTCAGTTTTTTATGCGATATGGTCAAAGATTAAAGAGTAAACAAGATGCGACGCTAAAGTGAGAAACTCTAGTTTTGAAAAGAGATAGAAGACATTTCAATTTAAATGTCCTGACAATAACAAACCATTCCAATTTAAATGTCCATAGCGTTCAAGGTCATAAAAAATTGCAGTCCTATATCAAAGGTGCCGACACGAAGCGTAGCATCTTGTTTACTCTTTAATCTTTGATATGGTATCAATGTAGCGCCTCGGCCACGAGCAACCTCGGCTTAATTAATCTTGACAACGTAGTGAACTGGTTAGTTATTATGTCAATATGGTATCGATGTTATGCCTCGCCCGCAAGCGACCTCGGCTTAATTAATCTTGATATTGTAGTGAACTGGTTAGTTTTTATGTCCATATGGTATCGATGTTATGCCTCGGCCGCAAGCGACCTCGGTTTAATTAATCTTGATATTGTAGTGAACTGGTTAGTTTTTGTGTCAATATGGTATCGATGCTATGCCTCGCCCGCAAGCGACCTCGGTTTAGTTAATCTTAATATCGTTATGAATGAGTTGGTTTTTGTGCAATATGGTATAGATGCTATGCCTCGCCCGCAAGCGACTTCGGCTTAATTAATCTTGATATTATAGTGAACTGATTAGTTTTATGTCAATATGGTATCGATGTTATGCCTCGGCCGCAAGCGACCTCGGTTTAATTAATCTTAATATTGTTATGAATGGGTTAGTTTTTGTGTCAATATGCTTTCGATGCTATGCCTCGCCCGCAAGCGACCTCGGCTTAATTAATCTTAATATNTTGTGTTAACTAGCGTTACCTAGGCCGCAAGCGACCTCGGTTTAATTAATCTTAATATTGTTATGACTGGGTTAGTTTTTGTGTCAATATGATATCGATGCTATACCTCGCCCGCAAGCGACCGCGGCTTAATTAATATTGATATTGTAGTGAACTGGTTAGTTTCTATGTCAATGTGGTATCGATGTTATGCCTCGGCCGCAAGCGACCTCGGTTTAATTAATCTTAATATTGTTATGAATGGGTTAGTTTTTGTGTCAATATGGTATCGATGCTATGTCTCGCCCGCAAGCAACCTCGGCTTAATTAATCTTGATGTTGTAGTAAATTGGTTAGTTTTTATATTAATATGTTATCGATGTTATGCGTCGGCCGCAAGCGACCTCGGTTTAATTAATCTTAATATCGTTATGAATGAGTTAGTTTTTGTATCAATACGGTATCGATGCTATGCCTCGCCCGCAAGCAACCTCGGCTTAATTAATCATCGTATCGTAGTGAACTGGTTAGTTTTTATGTCAATATGGTATCGATGTTTTGCCTCGGCCGCAAGCGACCTCGGCTTAATTAATCTTAATATCGTTGTGAAGGGGATAGTTTTTGTGTCAATATGGTATCGTTGTATGCCTCGCCCGTAAGCGACCTCGGCTTAATTAATCTTAATATCGTAGTGAACTGGTTAGTTTTTATGTCAATATGGTATCGATGTTATGCCTCGGCCGCAAGCGACCTCGGTTTAATTAATCTTGATATTGTAGTGAACTGGTTAGTTTTTATGTCAATATGGTATCGATGTTATGCCTCGGCCGCAAGCGACCTCGGTTTAATTAATCTTAATATCGTTATGAATGAGTTGGTTTTTGTGCAATATGGTATAGATGCTATGCCTCGCCCCCAAGCGACCTGGTCTAAATTAATCTTAATGTCGTTGTGAACGGGTTAGTTTTTGTGTCAATATGGTATCGATGCTATGCCTCGCCCGCAAGCGACCTCGGCTTAATTAATCTTGATATTGTAGTGAACTGGTTAGTTTTATGTCAATATGGTATCGATGTTATGCCTTGGCCGCAAGCGACCTCGGTTTAATTAATCTTAATATTGTTATGAATGGGTTAGTTTTTGTGTCAATATGCTTTCAATGCTATGCCTCGCCCGCAAGCGACCTCGGCTTAATTAATCTTGATATCGTAGTGAACTGGTTAGTTTTTATGTCAATATGGTATCGATGTTTTGCCTCGGCCGCAAGCGACTTCGGTTTAATTAATCTTAATATCGTTATGAATGGGTTAGTTTTTGTGTCAATATGGTATCGTTGTATGCCTCGGCCGCAAGCCATCTCGGCTTAATTAATCTTGATATCGTTAAAATGTGAATGTGATGGTATCAAGATGGCGCCTTGGCTGCAAGCAACCTTGGCTTAATTAAGCTTGATACCGTTATGAACTGAATAACTGTCTCGTGAAAGTCGAAAAGCGATAAACGTTTGTATGACATGAACTAAATTGGGTCCTCCAGATTCGAATTCAAATCCTCAGGTCATACATTATACTCTATACTTAACCAACTATATATTCTTTGTTATTTCCAAATACTTAATTCATTTCATATTAATATAGGACATCCTGTAAATTCATCTTACATTTAAAAAATCACAAATAAAAGTTGAACAATTTCTATCATTATTCGATAAATCATCTTTTTGTTCTTGTAATAAAAAATGTTGAAACTCCTGTAAAGTGACTTGAAGTTTATTTTCTGAATAATTATCGAACCTATCAAAAACATCGTTTATTTCCTACAAAAAAAAACGATTGTTAACTCAATTCAAAAAAGGAATTATATATTTAAACGTACATTTAAATTAAAAATTAATTTTTGATAAAATACAGTGAAATCGTCGAAACCGATTTCGTTTCGTTTCCGCGTATCCACTTCATTAAAAGCCTCTCTAAGTTTATTAATTGCTATTTTTACGTTCAGTCTAGGAAGAAATGCTTTGATTTCTTTAAGCGATATCCTAAAAAATCGATAGAATCAACATAAAAAAATCGTAAATTGTAAGTGGTTTTTTTAAGTTTACGATTCTCTCGAGTTTTCCATTTCGTAGAATTCCCTTCGTAACCAACCTTGTACTCGAATTGGATACGGAGACGTTATCGTGTCTTTTACGAGATATCTCAAACCTTCCCTCCATATTTCACATTCGCGTTCAGAAAAAGCTTAAAATAATTTCAATAAATATGTATTTGTAGCAATACAAAAATTGTACTTACCAGCAAAACTAAGCACCCTCAATTTAAATTCTTGCCCATAAAAAATCACAAAACATTGTATATCATCTAATTTTTTTGCATCATCCGGCCATTTCTCGAAATCTTTTGAATTTTTCCCCAAACGAACTTCTTTAATTTCCCTAAGGTGTACGGAACCTTCATACGAAGGTTTCGAACCGGTCACAGTCCGACACCAAACGATTTCCCTCGTTTCTCTTCGTATCGATAAAGTTTTCTTCTCCGCTTTTTTCCTCCATGAGAATTTAGTAACCAAAGTACCCCTTTCAAGTTGACCGATCGCTTGTTCCATTTCCGGAATGTAACCCATCCCGGGAGAAAGGCCATTGTAACGTGGAAACATCGTCTACAAACTCAACCTGCGAAGGAAACACGTTTGAAAAGATAAACAATTAGGCACCCAAAAATAGATTTTGAAATAAGTGTTGTTTGAAATTTTGTGTTACTTTGTTAGTTGTAAAATGATTTTCGTTTGGTCACGTATTGTTTTTGAAAGATCTAGGTTAATTTAGATTATTGAGAACGAAAGATGATATGGAATAAAAAAATACGTGGAGAATGGCCGGTTTTATCTATGTATATTTTAGCTTATCGGTGACAATTCGCGATTTTTTGGACCTCTCCACAAACGATTTATCGCCCCATATGTCAACATGAATGTTGTTAACTACAAGATATTGCTGTTAGTTGTTCACACACTAATATTGTCAATATTTGTAATATTTTTCACCTGACATTTGTAAAAATATGGTTTATCTGATACTACATCAAAATCTATGTAATGTTAAAAACATCTTGTTTATAGCTATTCGAAAATTCTTAAAGTTATTATTTTTATGATGCTGACTCTAACGAGTAGTTAGATAAATCCATTAATTTTAATGATGGCTTTAATTACAGATTAACATCGTCTAATTTCATAAACAATTTAGTTGCGTTTGATGTCTCTCTTACGCGTCGTTAAACTTAAACTTTATTAAGAAGGTATTAAATGATTAAAGCAAATCAAATTAATTACAACGTTATAGTATTTTTAAGAATCCAATTTTTCGCATGATTCGTCCATATTTTCTTACACAGTTTTAGTGATACATACTGAGGTTCATCATGGTTTATATTTTGACAGCGTCAACCACAAAAATATAAGAAAACAAAATGTCTCAACAACTGCAATATTTAACTGATAGACAAACAGAATCTTATAATATAATCTTATATACCAGGAATTCCATATAACTCGCAATATATGAATGCAGTAACCATAGTTACGAAACTACTATGCACTTGCACTGTCCCACATAAAATGCAACATACCTTAATAGTACAGGCATTAGGAAGTTTTGTAAAGGAAATGTTTTGCTTGGAAAAAGGTGACATCCTAGATCTTGTATTAGTTCTAGTGATAGCTCTAGTTTTAGTGCAATAAAAATGTGCGACATAATGATATCTTGTGTTAACGAGCGTTACTTACCACTGTCACTAACACTAGACCAACAACTAGAAACATTCGGATTTAGCCGCACGTCTCTTAAGACGGCTAAACCCGAATAATTCTAGTTCTAGTGACAGTCCTAGTGCAATACTAGAATTAACACTAGACCAAGAACTAGAAACCTTCGGGTTTAGCCGCACGTCTCGTCTAGCTCTAGTTTTAGTGCAATAAAAATATACAACATAATGATATCTTGTGTTAA